GGCAGATATTGATTGGAGGGAGAGTCCCCCTCCCTACAGGAAGCCGTGACCACGTGTCACGGGAGGGAAAATAGCCGCGGATCCTGTTTGTCACCCGATCCGGCGTTCGCGAACGGAGGCAAAATTTTGCGAACAGAGCTGTTCGTGAACCGAATTGTTCGTGAACAGAAGCGTTCGTGAACCGAGGTACCACTGTACTAAGACTTTTTGCCCAAAGAACAAAACCACATTTGCTTACATTATTCCATATTTGCTATTTGGAGGCCCATTTCCCCAGATTGGAGAGATCCCTCTGGAGCTCTTCTCAGTCCTTTTATTTTAATCATCCCATCCTAGTTTGTTATCATACTTGCTTGGCTCCCTTACTGTTTATCTAGAGTGTCAAAAGGCTTTATAAACAAATTAATACTCAGATTCTTCGGGGACTCAAGTGTTTACATTCTCTATTGTGAGAGCTGCCCATTGTATTCCTACCTTCTACCTTTTTCTTCTTTCATGATCCTTACCACTGGCTACACTGGCAGGGGGCTGAAAATTATAATCTAAAACATCTGGGAAAGGTGCTTGAGTGTTTTGATCCCTTCATAATAGGACCCTCTCCTCAGGAAATAGTATCATATTTATACAGTTGTCAGATAATATTGGGAGTAGATCTTAAGCCACAAATGGATTTTCTGACAATAATGACTAGTGGCAGGAAAGTGTGAAAATGGCTTGTGTTAGAAAAAGGATATTAAGTGCTGTGATGGATCGTATGCAGGTAAAAGATAAAATATTCAGTAAGATAGTTCATTAAAAATAGAATACACTAATCTTGGCTGTCATAAAAAAAACAACTTGTGTTAATTTGTTTACCAAGAAACTCAATGTCCTAGTGCAAAGCAGGCCAGACTAGATAATCTATCTAAGAATACACTACTTACACTGAAAGTCTTAGTGGTCACAAAATATGAAGGAAATGTACTTTTTTGCTCAAATCTTACCTATTTTCTTTGTTATCAATACAAAGAAATTGCTCTTTTTCAAACTGTGAAGCACTTCCTTCTTTAGTTCCTTTCTCAGCTGATCTGGGTACTTCTATATTTGGATTATACTTTGATAAAATCTAAAGAAATTTAAACAAGAGAGGTTGAAAAAAGGATGTTTCCAATTTTTAACCTTTCATAAGGGAGAAATAAATTTTGCTGATAAAATGCTAACTTTAGTGCAAATTAATTTTGCAAACCTGCAAAAGCTGCTTGGGAATCACAGTTATTTCAGGTGGTGGTAATGGTGAACTGAAGAGGTTCTCATATTCTGATATTGCTGGAGGAGGTTCTTCAATACATTCCAAATATTTGTCTGAGTGCAAGACAGGTAGAACAGTGCCTTGTATAAGATTGTTTTCTGGCAGTATCTTAGTGGCACTTACATGCTAAGGAAAGAAAGAATTAGTGCTGAAATTCTGAAGCATAGTTATATTTTTTCAGAAAGTATCAAGCAACTAAATTAAACCATTGAGATACTATCATTCTTGAGGCAAATTAAATATGAGATTAAATGGATTAAATATGAGACAGACATTTCTTTCCTACAATTTACCAGTATGATGCTCAATGCTTACTGTAGGTTGTATTTGCAGAGATTTTGTATCAAGTAGAGGTATTTCTGTTGTGTGTTTAAGAACATCCAAATTATTATTTTCTGGAGATTCTGATAAAACAGTGGTCTTTCTGCAGGGAATTTTCACTCCAGGTGTGCAGAACTCAGGTGCAGCAGGTGAAGCCATACAATCATAGTCTGAAAACATTTGATTGAATCACAATGAAAACATGTTAAGTTACGCAAAAATGGATGAAAGGGCTGGTCTAAGAAATATACTTCCATGAAAAGGGAGGCATATTCAGCAGGAGCAGAAGGATAAGAGAGCAGGGGGCAATTTAACCTGTGCGGACACCCCTGCTGTTTTTGCAGATTTGCAGTCCCTGACTATGTCCTTTTTCCTTCCTGATGCAGAACTGTTTGGAGATATTTGGGGGGGTGGAAGAGGGAGGGATAGTGTCCCTGAATACTACTGACAATGCTGCAGGAGGTGAACCTGGGTTCTGGTTTGGGTACTGAGCAGAAGCAAGTCCAGAAACTCTGCAGGAATTTCTTTCACAACAAGGGGTTCTTCATTAAATCCCTATGTTAGGTGAAATACACTAATGCAGTGTTCCTCAACTGTGGCAACTTGAAGATGTGTGGACTTCAACTCCCAGAATTCTGAGAGCTGAAGTCCACCCATCTTCAAACTGCCAATGTTGAGAAACTCTGCACTATAGTGACTTCTCTTAGGAATGCAAGTTATCCCACAAGTTATTTTACATACACAGGACTTACCACATACTTTGTCTGGTTGCTTGGGTGCTGCCATGTTCTTATTTGATACCATTGCCGCTGCTGATCTGGTCAAGTTATTAGTAAAAGACAAAAATATTACTTAAGTAAAAGCACAACTAATCTCATACATGACAGAATACAACTCTTCTATTTGCTAAGACCGCTGATATGAATTACATACATTTTTGCAAATATTATGTATTTTCCCATAATTATTGGAAGAATAAAGTTGACTGATGGTTGTAAGGATAGAAAGATATGGGGAGGATATTCAGTGGTGTTAGTGTAAACTAGATTTAGGTATATTTCCTTTCCTTTCATATCTTTCTTTGGCTTATTATTTCTTATTCCTGTTCTAGGCTTTGCATAAAGTTGCTTATCCCCAAAGGAATAGCATGATGGGAATAAATGTTATGTATGTCATTACTGACTTAATTCCTTATTCACTACTTTGCTAAACCTAATACATATATCTTAAAATAAAAAATTACTTAATCTACTTTTCTACCCATTCTTTTTATGTCTACTTTAAGTTGAATTATAGATTGTGAGTCCTCTTGTACTTTATAAAGTTGTATATTGTTCTGATGACAAAACTATCTAGGCCAGAGTTGGGCAACCTCTTTTGTGGGGTACAGCCACCAATTTTGGGTGGTGATGGATGAGAGGGCTGGATCAGATAGATGATAATGCCCACTGGAAGGAGCACTTCACATAGATGACCAGCACAAGAATTTTCCAATCCCCCTCCTTTTTGTTTTATACTATTTATTTTATGAATTACAGTACTGGTTCCACATTTCCCATATCAAAATGGTGTGAAACTGCATCACATTAGTTTTCAGTAGTGTGCCACTGACATTCAGCAGTGTAGTTAGAGGGAGCCCTGGAGAACACAAGAGTTCTCCTGATGCTGAACTTCCAATTTTAGCCATTATGAGCTATCAGCTTCAGCCAGCATGACCAAGAGTCAGAGAGGTAGAGTTCAACTACAACTGATGTTTTTGATTATTCTGAGATGCTTTGCAGCAAATATGCCAATCCTTTCTCAGCTGTATCCAGAGACAACCCATCTTTGATTCTCAATGTGTTTGTGCTCCCCTGCATGGTCTTGGCTTGCAAGCTAGGGATTGTTCTGGGTTCATAGCTCTTGTTTGAACAGCAGATTAGAAGCTGGAGGCTCTGGCCAAGAGGCCCTTTGCAACATTATGGTTATTTCTAGTACAGAAAGCTTTGCTTTCATCATGAGAGCTTTGCTTTTGTCACCTCATGGCTGGATTACTGCATTGATTGATATGGGGCTGCCCTTGAAGACAATTTGGAAGTTTAAAGGTGGTTCAGCATGCGGGGCCCAAGTTGTTCTGGAAGTACATAGGTTCACCCATGTAAGACCACTGTTTTGGGAACTGCACTGGCTGCCAGTTAGCTTCCAAGTACAATTCAAGGTGCTAGTTATCACCTTTAAAGCCCAACATGGCTTAGGATTTGTACATATCTGAGACTGCCTTCCCTGTGTTGAATTTGTCTACCCTGTGAGATCTAGTAGGGAGGGTTCCAAACCTGAGGGAGTGTCATGTATATGGGGCCTGTGCTTGAGTCTTTTTAGTGATGTTCTGCCTCACAGGTCATCCCCTCCCTGTTAGTTTTGAAGATCCATGAAAACATGGGTCTTCAGAAAGGCACTTAGAGACATTTGAAGATTCTGATGCATGACGCCTTCATGGAGACACATCACAGCCTTCTTGTTTATGTTACTGACTCTTTATATTTTAATATTATGTTATTACTTGAAAGTTGCTTGGAATATTCAGAGATGGAGCAGCACAGAAATGATAAATAAATATATTTATACATGTAAGAGGATAACATCGGAAAATACTAGTCTGATCACTTCAGACATGAAAGATACAAGATAGAAAAATGAGAATCCTTATATTTTTGTAATGATTTCCAGGGATGCCACTTACCTATTTTTTCTTGCATTATTAAGTAAGAAAATTGTTTGGTCTTCGATTAAATTTGTGGTTTCATCATTCACAGACAGATCACGCCCATGGATACGGAAGTGTTCTACTTTGGGTGATAAATACTCAGATTCATCCACTTTCGTCTCTTCCTTCTGGGTATGTGGAATGTGTACTGTGTCTGAAGAACTTGGAAGGGCATATTTTGAAAGGCCAAAATCTGAAAGCTGAGGAATCTGCAGGGGACTATGAGATCCAGATGATTTTCCAGGAAAATCAAGAGGTTTTGGCTCTATTTGATCAGATATAGTAGACCCAGGGTTGATTTCAGCTTCATCCTTTATTGCTTTAAGAAGAAGAGAATTGCTTTATTGAATCTGGTGATAAGGCATACTATAAAGATCAGCTGACTACAGATGTAGTGTCCCTTTTTCATAATTACAGTTAAGGTCAAGAATAAATCACAAATTTGTATGCTTTTTCTGAATAAATCTTGCCCTTCTGCCACTACCATTGCTTCCTCTGTAACCAAGATTTGCTAACCCTAAAATAAGGTTTCACCACTAAATCAAGCATTTTAGCCATGCTACAATTTACAAAGAAAACTCATTTTCAGAACCTGGAACATCCGGACCTTGCTGGATAGAGACAAGGTGTCAAGGCCTGAAAGATGAACAGCACTCATAGCAGCTGAACTTCGCCATTATAGCATTGACACTGCTGCACTCAATAAGACCAGGCTGGCAGATGAAGGTTCATTACAGGAAGCAGTGAGTGAATATACGTTCTTTTGGAAAGGGAAACTATAGATTGACAACAGGACTCACTGAGTAGGTTTCGCAATCAAAACTGCTCTGCTGAAGAACATCTCTACTCTACCCACTGGAATATATGAATGCATTATGAAGTTCTGCTTTCCTCTCAGCAAGTCCCGGTATATCACCATTGTCAGTCCCTACGCACCAACTCTCATGAGTCCAGATGAAGACAAGGAAAGTTTCTACTCTATGAGGACCTGGACCAGATTATTCAAACAATGCCTGCCAGCAACAAACTTGTCATTCTGGGCTAGGCTGGGGACAGACAGTGAAAACTGGGACGGAGTCCTCGGGAGACATGGAGTGGGAAAACTAAATAGCAATGGCCTGCTGCTTCTAAGCAGTTGTGCCAAGCACAACCTGTGCATCACTAATACGATGTTCAGACTTGCAAACAAGTACAAAACTACCTGGATGTATCCCAGGTCCAAACACTGGCACCTACTTGATTATGTCATAGTATGTCAGCACAACCTTAAAAGATGTCATTGTCACCCGAGCCATGCAAGGTGCTGAGTGCTGGACATATCACAGACTGGTCCAGTCGATCATCAACCTGCACATAGCTCCTTTACATTGTAAACAACCAAGGACTGTCAGAAAGTCATTCAACATTGGCAGACTGCAAGACCCAGGCCAAGTCCAACATTTCCAAGATGTACTTAATGAAAAACTCTCTGGCAATTTATCACTTGTAGGAACCTCTTCTGAAAAGGGGATGCAGTTTAAAGATGTCATCACTCAGACTGCAACAACTGTACTTGGACTGAAAACCCAGGCATATCAAGACTGATTTGATGAAAACCACAAGACCATTTCTGCAGCCCTCCTGGCCAAGAACAAGGCCTATGCAGACTGGCAGAATGATTCATCATCTGTCTCAAAGAAAGACAAGTTTAAATACCTGCAGTCCAAAGTACAGGTGGAACAGCGAGAAATGCAGGACAAGTGGTGGCAGAGAAAGGCTGAGCAGGTGGAACGCTATGCAGACATGCATGCCACCAGAAAGTTCTTCGGCACCATAAAGTCAGTTTATGGTCCTTCTAAATCAGGATGCTCTCCCCTGCTGTCATCTGATGGGTAGAGCATGATCAAAGATCAGGAAGGATTGAAAAACCACTGGACTGAACACTTTTCCAACCTACTCAATAGACTGTCCACAGTTGATCCTGATGTCTTAGAGGAGATTCCTTAGCTGCCAGTCTTGGATGCCCTAGACCTGCCTCCCTCTACTGATGAGATCAAGAAAGCAATCGCACAGATGAACTCAAATAAAGCAACAGGACAGGATGGCATTCCCGCTGAGATCTCCAAAGCACTAGGCCCAAATGTCTTACAGATGTTCCAAGACATCTTGGAAGACATTTGGTCCGCAGAGGAGATTCCTGATGACTTCCACGATAAGGGAAGCAAATCAGACTGCAGAAACACAAGGGTATCTCACTGCTGTCAATTGCACGCAAGATCTTTACCCAAATTCTCCTGAACAGACTCATCACTGTCTCAGAAAGGAACCTCCCAGAGACGCAGTGTGGCTTTCAGCCAGAACGGAGTTCAGCAGGCATGATATTTGCTGTGAGGCAAGTCCAGGAAAAGTGCATTGAGCAGAACAAACCCCTTTACTCTGTCTTCATTGACCTTACAAAGGCATTTGACACTATAAACAGGGAGGCTCTCTGGATCATCCTGAGATGTTAAGGATGCCTGAGGAAATTTGTGAAGTCGATTCAGCTGCTGCCTGGTGGAATGAAAGGACAGGTTCTTTATAACTGTGATATATCAGCTGCATTTGCCATTTCCAATGGGGTGAAGCAGGGTTGTGTGCTAGCCCTGGTCTTGTTCAATCTGTTCTTTGCTTGCATGTTGTCATATGCTGTCCAGGGTCTGAAGGAGGAGTGTACATCAGGTACCAATTGGATGGCTCTCTCTTTGACCTTCACTGCTTGAATGCAAGGATGAAGTGCCTCCACAGTCATCCAAGAAACCCTCTTTGGTGATGACTATGCACTCCTGGTGCACAATGACAGTGATCTTCAGTTGATGCTGGACAAATTCTCAGCACTGCTATGCTCTTTGCCTTGACTATCATCCTGAACAAGACTGAAGTAGTTTACCAGCCCATGCCAAATACCAACTCCGTAGAACCAAAAATTACTGTTGACAACACCCAGCTGACAAATGTAAACAGCTTCAAATACCTGGGAAGCATAATCTCGAGCGATGGGTCTTTTGACAAAGAAATTAACTCCAGGATCAGCAAGGCCAACCAGGCACTGAGGCAGCTGTGTACTAGCGTGCTCAATCAACACAACATCTTTATCTCCACAAAGCTGAAAGTCTACAGAGCTATGGTTATCCATTTTCTCCTATATGGCTGTGATTCCTGGATTCTGTACTGAAGGCACATCAAACAACTGGAGAAATTTCACATGCGTGCTCGCCATTCCATCCTTGGCATTCATTGGCAAGACTGTGTCTCCAACCTGGAGGTCTTGGATCGCGCAGAGTCTACCAGCATTGAATCCCTGATTATCAGAGCCCAGATGCGGTGGGTGGGACACATCATCAGAATGGATGACCACTGTATGCCTCACCAGTTGCCCTATAGTGTACTGGAGCCTGGGAAGAGACCTCGAGGTTGACCACGCAAGCGCTACAAAGATGCTGTGAAAGAAACCCTACGCCACTGTGACATCCAGCCAAGAGAACTAGAAGCTGCAGCTGCTGACAGAACCTGCTGGTGAGCCCTGTGCTATGAAGCCTTCACTGGCTTTGAAGACAGGCGCTGCCAAAAACTGATAGAAAATCATGAGTGGTGTCACAGAGTAACACCCACAGATACTACAACAATGGACTTCCAGTGGCCCCATTGTGCTAGACTCTATGCTTACAGACTAGGACTGCAGAGCCACCTCTGTGCCCACAGATGAACTGCATAGCAGCATATCTTCTTTGAACCCGAAGGACTACCATATATATCATTATAGAACTTTTAAACTTTTGACTTAAGGAATGCCAAACCTACCAGGAATGCTAAAACCAGAAGAATGATACTCAAGTGTTACAGAAGGTGAAGCATAATATTAGGCATTTTCCAAGCTGAAGCATTTATCCTTTTTTAAAAATACACAAATTATTTACTTTATAAGTTCTTTATATTAGTAATGCATATAGAAATAAATAAATTGTAGAGTATATTCAAAAGTTGCCAAATTTTCTAGATTTAGGGGAAAAATTACCTTCATTCTTGCCAATAAGGGGCTTGTAACCATATTTCTGAAACAGGTCTGTTATTTTTCCAAGATCGGTTGCATTTCTTTTCATCAGAACTTTACTGGCCTTTATGAAGTCATACGTGGCATCTCTTTCTGAAGAACTCATATGAAGAATATTATCAGCATCACCCTATGATTTGTTTTTAATTTGATTTTGAGTCAGAAATGATCAATATACAGTAGTAAACATTAGCTGTTAGTAATGTAAACATTAGTATGTTACCAAGTTATATGTCAGGCTCAGCACAAAACCTGTTTATTACACGGAAGCAGCAACAAAATTTCCTTCCCATATTCTTCATTTTAATAAAAACAGTTTATTTTAAAAAGCATGTCCAGTTATGGCTTCATGCTACCAAAAACCACTCATGTTTTTAAAGAATGGGGCTATAATCTCCTAAGAGGAGATCCCAAGGTTCGTGGGTTCTCTGGAAATATTACAGATTTACCATGGAGGGTTTCAGGAGACATGATATAGCAGAAATCAGGTTTTCTATCTTGGGAGATATGAAGTACCACCATTGGATAAACCTAACACCCAGAAGCCAACATTCACATGTCGTGATCTTCCAGTGAATCAGAACTTAACTCATTTGATATAAAACCAATGAAGTTCTAGAAAAGAAATTTGAGGGTGAGAGAATTAAGAGAAGCAGGTCATATATACCTTTAGTGTTCTGACTTCAGAGTACAGTTCATGTAGATATCTCATTGGAGAATTATCTTCAAATTCTTCAAAACATTTGAAAGAAAAATAATCACAACAAGATTTTTATAAAATAATATACAACACATGGACAATGTTTATTATTTAAAAGATGAGATGTTCCAGCCAGGTCAGAAATTAGCAAGGTAATTGGTTGGGAGCCCTAAGGACATCAGCATGAGCTTCACAAATGTACCAATGCATGCAAATTAAATGTATAATTCTTCTGTTTTAAATAATTACTTTGAAGCAAAAACTCAACAATGTTCTAGTTAATATTCCAAATGCAGAATGACACTGTGTCTGGATTTACATACTGTATTGTTTAAGCCAAAATGCAGCTTGTTTGATTCTGGTTTAGCATAAGCCTCCTGAGGCAAAGCAATTATTTACTGCACTCTCACCTCCATCTTCTCCAAGAAAAAATTGCTTAAGTTGCTCAGCCTGCTTCTCCAAAGTGACTGCTAAAGTTCGCAGTTTGTTGAAGAATGTTCCTGTCACATCCATACTGAAGAAAAGCTAACAGCTCACTTCTAAGATGAATTTCAGAAATAATATGAAAGTTTTCAATGTTTCAAATAATGTTAAACACATTAAAAGAAGCAGATTTCTAAAACATGTTACAGCTCAGAAACAGTTAGAACAGCCTTTCCATGCATTCAGGTTTCTTTAAAGGGGTACAATTGACGTGGTAGTACATACATTTGTTATCCAGCTCTAGGTACTTTCTCTCTATATTGTGTTTCTATTGTGGAAATGCTGCTTTCCTCCCAAGCCCTAGACAAACCACTGTGTATTCAGAAAAAAATTAAGAGGCTCTCCCACAAAGTATCACTATTAGGCTTGACTACTGCGATGCACTCTACAAGGGGCTGCTCTTGAAAACCACCCAGGACCAGAATATGGCAGCGCAGGCAGTGATGGGCATGCCTCAGTATGCTCTGTGAGATGCATTGGACACCAGTCTGCTTCTGGTGCAATTCAAAGTGCTGATTATTGCCTTATAAAGCCCCACATGGCATCAAGTTAGGCTATTTGAGGGATTGCCTAATTCCCACAGTTTCTGCCTAGCCCAGTATGTGCCGGCAGAGTGGAATCGCTCTGGGTTCCTTCAGTTAAACAATGTAATTTACCAGGACCCAGGAAGGGTGCCTTTTCTGTCATGGTACCTGCCCTCTGGAATGCGATCCCCCTGAAATCCTCGTGGCTCCACCCTGTTGGTGTTCCATAAAGCCTTCAAGACCTGGTTGTTCTCCCAGGTGTTGGGGTGAGACGGGTGGGGGCCCCTTTCGGGTGTGTCTGTTATTTTTGTTTTTGTCTGTATATTGTGTCTCGATCCTATCTTGGTTTTGGTTTGCATGAGTATGTCATTATTTGCTAACCGCCCACTTGGTGTCTAAACCGAATCAATTAATTAAATAAAAATAAACAAACATGACTATTGCAGAGGAGAATGAAACGGTGCTGTGCACACCTCCAGACATTGCCTGTCTCCATTTGTTGTCATTGGTACAACATCCCAAATTTTAGCACGTATGCCCAAGCACCGTATCTATTCTGGGGGAGAAAGCATTTATCTTATATCGCTGACAACTAATTCATGGTACCCTTCAATATTCAAGTCCTCCATTCTCCCTTCAGAAGACAAGGGGGATGTTTGAGCAAGGACTGCAGGAGCCAGTTTTCGGGAACTTGCCCGATCTCCAGGAAAGCCACGCCTCAGGCCCCACCGCAAGACAGAGGCACGCTAAGCCTTCCCTAAATACCTCCGATCATTCGCTGAAGCCTCAGAGATGCGGGAGAAACACGTCCTCGTATTTCCCCAAGACTGCGAAAACAGCAGGCCCCGCTCTCCCGCCTCAGACGAACCCCGAAAAGCAACCTGCGCGCTGGACAACGGCTGCCTTCCCTCGCGGCGCTTTGAATTTCCCGGGACGGCAGACGCCGATTGGTCAGTCCGCGTCTGCCCGCCTTCTTCCCGCAGCCCCGTGATTCAGCGCTCTCGCGGGAGACGAGATTTGATGTTCGACGTACAACGCGGCCGCTTTGGGTCTTCCGTTTGGCTTGACTTGGATCGCTCGTGGGGGGAAGGACGCGTCGCGGCCTGGTGAGTTGGGAAGGGCCGTCATGGTCGGTGAGGTGGCAGGGGGACGTGTGGCGGCCCATTTCCTCGTACAGGAGGGCGATGCTGTGTGTCAGTTGAATCGCTACTGAGGTCACTCCCCGCCATTGGGCTGCGAGAGTGGGTAGCCGTTTGCCGGGTAAGGTTTCAGGTGGTCTTCAACGTCAGCCCTATGCAGTGCCCAATGCACTAATCCAGGTGGGAGGTGACTAAGGCAGTTTTCTCAACCTTGCCGACCTGAAAATGTGTGGACTTCAATTCCCAGAATTCCCCAGCCAGCATGCTAGCTGGGGAATTCTGGGAGTTGAAGTCTACACATCTTCAAGTGGCCAAGGTTGAAAAACAGTGGACTAAGGTATGAGTGTTATATTTATACCCTGATTTTTTGTTTTGGGTTTCCCTGCTGCAGTGGGGAGAAAAAGCCTTTAACTCCACTGGTGAATTTTATTCCAATACAAATTGCAGAATATTAATGCAAATAATTGAAGTACTTGTATCTTTTACACAAATATACCAATTAGAATCTATGGTGTGCAGATTTACTTTTTTAAGAAACCATTCCTATAATGGTTCATTGTGTGAAGGACATTGATCTATAGTTTTCCTTTCTTTCAAGGATCTCTACCATAAATTTAGATGGGTTATTAATACACATAGAGATATAAAAAACAGAAAAAGTGGGCTTCTGGGTTTCTCCTTGCCTTTTTTTTTTTTTTTACTTTCTTGAAAAAATTGAAAATATTATTTAATTTGTTCTTAAAATGATATATAAAACAGTTAAGTTGTAAGAGAAAGTTGCCTATATTTAGAAATACACAGAACAAAAAATAAAGACGTCCACATCTGGTAAGATCTGATGGGGAGCATGCTCCAGATCCCACTGCTTAGGCGATATCATCTGGTGGGACCCAGGAGATCTGCCTTCTCTGTTGCCACTCCTGCCCTTTGGAATGGCATCTTCCCTGAGATTTGGTTGACCCCAGCCTTGTCTGCCTTTTCCAGGCATTGGGTCAAGGAGTAGTGTGATCCCATTGGTTGATTTTTTCAAACACTTTATGTCCTGTATGTTTTCATGTTTTGTTGTTTGTTGTGTCATTTTTATATGGACTTGTTTATTGATGATGTATTCTGCCCTGAATCATGTGACAGATGGTGGCTATGTAAATTAAAGAAGTGAAGGAGTTGGGAAGCTTGTCTTTACACAGGCAAAACTTCACTTTTCAGAAGTCCATGAAAATTACAGAAACAATTTAAAGAATTAGAAACTGCTGATAGTACTTCAGATTTGGAAACAAAGCTGATTAGATAATATTTTGTGTAACAAAATGTGCATGATTTCTCAGGTTTTGACAATTAGTACCTTTGGTACATTTCTGCAAAAAGGTCCATTCTTACATGAGTCATACCTGGAACAGGATACTTTTAAGGATGGTCACTCATGCCCTTGTCATTGATTTAGATTTCTATAATTCACTCTTCACTCCTAATTTTTATCCCAGCAACAACCCTGTGATGTAGGTTGGGCTTGGAAAGAGTGACTGGCCCAAAGTCATCCATTGAGAGAGTAAACCAGAACCTGAATCACTCCACTCCTAGACCAAGACCTTAATCACAGCACCACGCTGATAATAACTAGTTTAGCTAGGCTTACACTATTGATTTTATTTTGAATTCTGTGCATTGTTGATTGTTACCCTTCCTTGTTTCCCAGTAAACTCCTTTTTAAATCTAGAGAGATTTAGATTCTGCCCTGAATCTAGAGAGTTTGACTTCAAAGGATATGCATAAGCTATTTCCATAAGATGGAAAGAACCAGAAGAACTTGCAAACAGAAATTATCTATTACAAAACTATACCCAACCCTGATTTTGCAGAGACAAAGATCCAAATCCTTGGTTAATATAGAAAGATGGTGGGGAGCAGGAGGGGGCACAACAGCAAGTGCCCCCTGTGGGAGCTTTGTGGAACAGCTTGTCCCCAGAGACAAGGAGGGTTTTTCTCTCATGGCCTTCCAGAATCTGGCAAAAACCTGGTTTTTTCAAAAGACCTCTGGAGATTAGCCATGGAGCCACTGATACCTATATTAATATATTACTTTATTGGGGGGGGGGTTGTATTATGATGTTCTTAATATCGGTTAATGATTGGAGTCTCTCCAAATTGAGGCAGAGATAAATTGCATAAATAAAACTTGTAAAAATTAATTTTTCTGTTCTTTGCCAGTAGCAAAGAACATTGACTTAGGATGTTTATATACCTAATATTTCAAATAGTTAATAATTCTCATTTCTTTTTAAAGGCATGTTTCTGACTCGAGCACTGTTTCGAAACAGAATTCCTGGGAAACAATGGATTGGTAAACACAGACGACCAAGAATAGTTACTTCTTTAATGAAGAGAAATATGATTAAGAGACTGGAAATTGAAGCTGAAAATGAATATTGGCTGAGTAGCCCATATATGACAAAAGAGCAGGAATATCGCCATGATGAGGAAAATGTACTTGCATTGCAGCAGCAAAGAATAGCTGAAGAGAGAGCAAAGTTTCGTGAACACAAATATGCTTCAGAATACCTGAAGCACCTTAATGTGACCAAGAGATGGACAGATTCCTGATGTGTGTACTTTGCCATTCTAATGGGTTGTATGAATCCAGTGGGCTTGCTTCTGGTGACAATGAAATAATGTCACAAAGCCTATAAATAAATGTATTCTTCAGTTTTCAGTCAGCTATTGATTTCATAAGTACATAAGCTTCTCTACTAAATGCTCTTTTTCTTCCGGAGTTCAGTAGTATTTGTTATAAAAAGGATCCGAGCTCTTTTTCTTGAGAAAAGAAAAATGTTTACATAATAGTGATGCATTAACCCACCATAAGTTTAACACACGTATTTGATTTTTTTAGAAACCCCAAAGAGCTGGCTTTGCCCTCCTTGTATTCCCTATCCCTCCACCCCCTGGAAAATAAAATGTCCTAAGCCATGTACCTACCTTTGCATTCAGAGACAAAAAACACAAAAATGTTAACATGTTCTCTGCAAAGACGGCCAATTCCTACTTTATCTGTTTTATATGGGTCTCCAAAAGCATGCTTGCAGGCTGGAAGTATTTTTTGATTTAGGTTTGTCACCTAATTGAAAGAGGTCTTAGTGGTAGGCTCAAGCAAGGAGAGTTTGTTGCCCGTGGTACAGGCTCTGTTAACATCCCATGTGGAAGGTTCTGATTTATGACATGTTAGGCTGCCCTTGAAGAAGGTTGAAATGTGTTAGTAATGGAAAAGATGCCAAATAATTCAAGGCTTTAATCATCAGCTAATGAGTGTTGTTTTAACTGAATTAAGAAGCGGAAGAGATTTGATTTTAAGAATTCCCAGGCAGTGCATAAAAATGGCTGAGACAGATTTTCCATTTCAACAGAGGTTAAATGCACCTTATTGCCTTTCCTCTTCCTTATGTCCCCACTCATTTATGGCAATGCAAAATGAATAACTGAAGTAGAAATACAGCAGAAAGCCTGTTTCCAAGTTATTTATTTTCTTATGCATTGATTATGCCATAATACATTAATGTATCACCAATTTGGCAAAAAAGGGCTTAAAGATTACGCTTTTTTTGAAACAGTTATAATTAAGACATGATCTGTACTTTGATATACAAAATAGTCAAACATGATTGAAAATTATTACACTGGTGGAAAATATACATGAAGATATTATAAGGTGCAGTTAAAAATAGGAAAATTTCAGGCAAAGTGATCTGTCTTGTATAGTTCATTTATAAAAGCCCATTTAAAAAGTCATTTTATTAAATTATTAGTGGCAATATGCTTTTTCTGTGCATAGGAATACTATCTGCAACATAAAGAACAGATGCATCATTCACATTATGTATCCTCTAAGTATCCTCATACCATTTTAGATTTGAATACTTGCAAGCCTACTATTACAACAGGGAGATCTATATTTAAGTAAAATACTTGCATACACCTTTGTCATAAAAAGAGTGCAATATATCTGATGTACCCACTGGCGCATACACAGGTTGTGGCAACTTAGCCAAACTATGAATGCCATTCTTATGGCCATTAATTTACACTGGGGAAAAACAAGACACGGTGGATAACAGTTCTGTAATACCCTATAATGTGCAGTCCTAAGCCGTATAGTTAAGTCATGTTCACTAAATAAGTAGAACTTCCAGGTAAATATATTTAGGATTGAGGTAAAAGACCATAATCCTTAAACCACTCTCTCAAGCTTTCATGGTGTAATTCCAGAGTTCTGGGAGTCATCAGGATTGCAATAGAATGTAAGATGTTTGATACAGTTTATTAGTTCTTTGGTACCAAGAAACAGAAGATGCTGTCTTAATATATTATCAAATTATGAGCCATTCATCTGCTGCACAATTTTCCAAAAGACATCTTCAGTAATTTGTTTTGTAAACATAGACAGGCTCTTCCTATTACTTACAATTTTCAAGTATAATCTGGAAAAAACATTGGATATTAAGACTAACTGAAAACTGATGTATAAGATGCATTTTTGGTAGCTATGATCTAAAGTAAGTTGTAAATTGTAAATAGTGTCATTTACATTGCTTGGACCTTGATGATTCACTAATAGAAAATTACAAAAATAACAATTGCTAGGACATTTCTCCAACACAGGATGCTGGAAATCTGTTTAATCAAGTGCTCTTTTAAGCTTTTTCTATTAATTATAATTCCTTGGAATAAGAAATCATAATTACTAGAAAATACTTCTCTTATTTAAAACTGCAGCATAAAATCTAATTTATAATAGCAGCCAGTAGATCAAGTCATATGTTGGTAGAATGAAAACTTAACAATAACTGGGAAGGGACTTCCTAAGGCAACCAAGAATCTATGCTTACAATATGCAAGCTATAATTCCCAAAAACAAATGTACATAAAATGTTTCTAATTATACCATTACACGTTCGTTAGCAAAATGCTTTGATAAAGCACTGAAATAAAATCTATACATACATTTTCCAATACGATCAGCATGACACATTATACTCTTTGGTATAATTTCTTGAAATTAATAAGATATCCTACCTATTAATTAATTACAGTTTAGCACTATAAACATCTTTCTTTCTGACCCAACATGTAGATGCTTTCACTAGTTACCGATGGAATTTTCTCAGTGGCTTAATGATTGCAAAATAATCTAAAATACTAAATATTGCCAACATAGTTTTAAATTTACCCCATTACTAGAAATCTATAGATGCCAAACAATGAAATAAGTGCAAAAGGGCCTTTATTTCTATGTATACTTTACAAAGAACCCTGATATCCATTCATTTTTACTGATGCACTCTGGATTTTTACTGATCTTTTAAGAAAAATTTTGCTGTAGTCAATTTATTGACAAGCCTGTTGGTGTTACAGTATGTGGGAAAGACCTTGGGAGAGAAGAGCCACAGCCAGGGGTGCTCGCAAGGCTGACATCAATCTTGCAAGTCTAAAAGTATATTTCACCCCCGTCACCTTTATGGTCCAAGAAACTAGGGAGGGCCCCTTCTAAGCCATTTGCCATGCCCACATTGCTTCTGCAGGCTAAGCTGCTTCTTGTTTGACTGTTTCCTGGCTGTGGCTGTTCCCCCTGTCTACCAAGGTCATTCCCACATACCATTACAATTGGCTTGCAATGGCTAAACTTCCCTATAAACCACATAATTTAAGGGATAATTTATTTGATGTAGCTTCTAGCTGGACTTGTGGAATTTGTACTGTGCTCTAACAGTCTGACTCCCTTTTATTTCATCCCCCCTATATCTAGACAAACTATCTATATACTGTTCTTGTATTACATACAATTTTTCTTTCAGTTCATAGCATTAAACCGCATTATCTGACCAGAAGGCAATGTGTTAGCAGTGGAAGCCTTGAGCCTAACCACCCAACTTGTACGGTAAAGATAGGATTCAGCACTGAGTCACAAAGACTGCACAATGTATTTTATTTATTCTCCTCGTTTTAGAAATTAATCTGGAAGAGCCAAATCAACACATATATTTTCCATTTTGTTCTATCTCCAGCTGTTTAAGATACCCAAAATCAGCTTTTTTAAATACATCACTCACACAAATTTTGTTTTATGGGTTGAAATAAGAAATGTAGAGCAGTTGAGATACAACTTTAAGAGATTTAAAAGTATGTATCAGGACAGGAACCCCTGTGCAGCTACAATGAGATATGACCTCTTCATAATCTTCTAAGGCAATGTTTCTTAACCAGAACAATTTTAATATGTGGACTTCAACTCCCACAATTCTGGGAGTTGAACTCCACACATCTTAAATCTGCCAAGGTTGAGAAACACTGTTAAGGGTAGTAATAACCAGATCATTGCTTGGAGGGCTGATGATTTGTGGGAAAGGAAGTGCATGCATACAGCTCTTGTCAGAGTCAAGCATCCAGTGTCTTGCTACCCTCCCTTAATAAGCAGATCAAGGTAAGCATTTATCACTGTACTGAAATTATACATCAGTATTGTTAAAGGACAGGACTGCATCCATGATCAGAGATGGTTAGAGAAGGAGGGGAATTCTGAATGATGGAAGCAGGTGGGTGTGAACAAGGCCCTCCTTCTCCAGTTCCTTCCCTACTTCACTCGATAAATGTTCCTAGTGCAGATAGTTGTGAAATCCAATCCCATAATAACACTTTTATACCTGCTTCTTTTCTACTGAAGGAAGCAAGAACAGAAGGAAAAAAGGAAGGAATGATTTCTGTTCACGGTCTGAGTAACCAGCAGACTTCAGAAAGGATATGTATATTGGGCTTACTAACCAGAAATGCTTGGAAGTAATATTCACTATTATTAAATATTCTAAAAGGGAGGGGAGAACATCATTTAAATGAATTACATTCCTGGTGTGGCCTAGACCAGTCACATTTCCAAGAAATTAAAATACTGGTTCTCTTAAAAATAATGACAAAATAGCTCAGAAAACTAATTATCTCGACTAGTGCATCAAATTGCTAGTGAGCTGAGAAGAAACCTTGCTTCTCCAATACTGTATTGCAATAATACTGTATTGCAACAAAGCAAGTCTGAAAAAAAAAGAACTATTATTAGAGAAAGTTAAGAAGTCATAGTTTTGAACTGTCTGCTTCGTAACACCTACCAGTACTACTGGTTATCTCATAATGGTAATGGAAAAACAACTAAAATACATGATGCCAGTAGTCCACCAGATGAACTTTGAACCACATATAACTGTACTGTGGAGTTTCAATGGTGAAATGCTATGGTAAAGTATATGTACTACTCCATCCCACCCCACTTTTCTCCTGCAGAACTGTTATGAAAGTAATTTCTACATGACAGCAGCATGGCATTGCCTCACACATGAAGTTTGCAGAATCAGCCCCTTCTACCACACTGCAGCTGGAATGCATAGTTTCTGCACTTTTGAGTCTTGCGGACCCTTGCAGGGCATTTCAGAATTTGGCCCTTGTAATAGCTTATGTCCATGTTGCAAAAATGCACATCAAGAATCTTAAGGCATCAGACTTTCTGCACTGCAGGTGCTTATAAACATCCACTGGATACCATCAAGGATCTCACTTTCCATATCTTGTTAACATGCCGGAACTGTTCCATTGATTTATCGGTGTCTTTCTTAAAAAATTAATATCCAAGCACAAATGTATTGTAGAAATCTATCTGGAAAATAAACTTTATAAGTATTGTATTGGATAAAAATAAGTAAAGATAAGAAAAAGACATGGCTAAATTACAATTCTGCACCCAAAAACTGATTTATTTCTCTGCTATGAATTGCTGAATATAAGGAAAACTTTCCAGAAAAGATACTGAAGCACATGTCAAACCTGGACTGCCACCTGCTTTCCTAAATCAGCTTTGTCTTGCCAAACTAGCAACTGCATTACCATTTTTTCCTATACAGAAGAGGTTTCTGCTCTGTCAATGCTTTCCAAACCTTCCATCTTCTCTGCAGTCCTTTTACCTGTCTTTGGATTTACCCTGCAACTTGATGAAATCTGTCTACTGTTTTTGGAAAAGTTCCACCATTGGATGTTTAGTATTAATACTGGAAATCCCTTTTCTGTATTCTAGAGAAACGTGGATTTATAGTAGTATTTTTGCTTATTTCATGTACCTATACCCATTTCTTTTGAAGTACACAATTAAAAACAACTGCTGAATTTGGGAGCAGCTCAAATTAAATTAATGCTTAATATGGTAATAGTGGCTTTTAAAAATAAGCCAACATAAATAAATAAAAATATCCAAAGAAAGAGAATATTTTATTATTAAATGCTACTCAAGGTCAGCCTATGATGTGACCCATGCTTTCTCTCTTCTTTACATAAAAGATTTTGGAACCAAAATCATGTTATTGACTGTTTCTATTTCTGAGCATAAATTTTCTTACCATTTCCCCTTCTCTGAAAGGAACTGACATTGAAATAAGATCAGCTCTCCAATGAAACTATAATATGTTTTTTTACACCTGAAAAAGAAAAAGACAATAGTCCATTTTACAGGTTTTACACATCAGAAACAGTGGAGGAAACAATTACTACTTAGTTATGTTTTCTTTGCGTATACAAGATAGGTAAAATCAAAATCATCTCCAGATTTTTGTCTTCAGTAGGAATTCTGAAATTCTGCCCTGTAACAAGCTGCCATAATTATGCATACCTGATTTAACAATTTCATCTTCTGAACTGACCTCCACCCACTGGTTTTCACCGGCAAGTAATCGATTTTGAGATTCACTGAGTGGCCTAGTAGGAAATGGCTGACTAGTAGAAGAGCTGAAAAACAGAATTTCTGTTAGAGAGAATGGACTCCCACAAGAATTAACTCTTGTAATTCTACATGAAATGAAATATATTTAGAATTACACTCTACTGCTTCTAATTAGTCTAGCCTCTGGCCTAGCAGATCTGGGCTGTGAGTCTTGAATGATGAGAGTAAAGAGTTAGAGTTTTTTTTTAAACAATCCCTGCTCTCATCTAATGGTTGTTCAGATTCTCAAAGCCCAGATCTGTAGCCCTAGCTATAACGTTCAGGTAAAGACAACTCTAAATTTAAGAGAAAGCCCCACAAACAAGATTAGATTTTTTTTTTAAAAGATCATAAATATACCCCGAAACCTCATACATGGTCGGCTGCTTTATTTTGCCAAGAAGGATTGCTAACTTCTATTAAAACCAATCCTGGCAATTGTTCCTCCAACAAATTGCTAGAGGTGTTCAAACAGAGGCCACCTGTCAGGGATGCTTTAATTTGGGTGTCGGATCCAGTGGCTTAAATGCTACTTTCAAACTTTAAAGGAGAGGAGCTAGAAACCTTTTGTTTCTAAGTGGGCAAATTCCTCCACTTGCACATCAAAAACAGGTGGCAAGAATCCAATCTAATGCTCAGCAAACTGCATGGGATCACCATGAATTATAGAGTTGAGGAAAAATAGTCCAAACCTTTTTCTCATATTCAACAAAATAATTTAACTGAATATGAGTTTCCAATATATACCCCCCACTTATTTATATTAATTAATTAATATAAATTAATTATATTAATTTATATTTATATGTATTTAAT